GAATATCGGAATCCCTTCGATATTTTTCCGAACGGGGACGCAGCGGGAATTGACGTTTCAATTATACCCGTTGACGTTCCTTTTAAACGGGACGCTTTTCCACCACCGGGTTCACCTTTTGTTCTCAGCACCAGAAATCGTTTCTGAGGAGAAGTCCTGGAAAACGATTCCGAACAGATTCGTAACTTTCCCCGCTGAAAATTGGCGTAACACCCGCGGACAGAGACGTAGAGCTGTAACTTCTTACGCGTCGGAAATCGTGCTATTCTTGTTTTTTTTTTTTTTTTTTTTTTTTTTTTTTTTTGATTTTTCACGCGGGAAATTTTCAATAATCCAACACACTGCGCCAAAATTTCTGCGGTCAAGGCCTTGATTTTTTCTTGTCGAAAATTGGCATAACACTTGGGGATAGAGGCGTAGCTGTAACTTCTTACGCGTCGGAAATCGTGCTATTCTTGTCTTTTTTTTTTAGATTTTTCACGCGGGAAATTTTCAATAATCCAACACACTGCGCCAAAATTTCTGCGGTCAAGGCCTTGATTTTTTCTTGCCAAAAATTGGCATAACACTTGGGGATAGAGGCGTAGCTGTGACTTTTTACGCGTCGGATATCGTGCTATTCTTTTTTTTGGGGGGGTTTTACATGCGGGAAATTTTCAATAATCCAACACACTACGCCAAGGTTTCTACATTCTCGAGGCCTTGATTTTTTCTCGCCACGGTCGTTACTGCGCCTCAACTTCCCACACGCGGATCGACCGGACATGTTTTATTCACCAGCAGACTGTACCCTGTTCGGACAACTTCTTAAGAGGTGGATTTAACGAACTCTCGGTACTTACGAATCCGATTGTTCAACTTTGTAGATGGCCGTGTAGGTGTTACGGTTGATAGAATTGATTTTGGTGCCAGGAATTGATCGTTTTCGAAGATTTTTCAGGAAATAAAGAGAATTTTCTCAAAAATCAGATATTCCATTTTGTTCAATTTTATGTTATTAACTTTAGTGCGTTCTTTCGTTTGATTGTACACTTAACGTTCTTTGGGTCCTTTTTTACCCAATACACTACGCACTTAAGGTCTCTGGATCTTTTTTGACCCAGAAACCTTATGTGTAATAATTTTTGTTACGAAACTAGACAATAAACTTTTGATGCAATGTTAAAGGAACATAAACTTGATAAGAGCAAAAATTATTATAGGCAATGGGTCGAAAAAGACCCGACGACCGCACTATTGTTAAACCTCATCGACGTCCATTTAAATTCTGCTATTCTTAAAGTTACTGCATAACAATACCTTTTTGCTCAGTTAAAGTGCAATTTTTACTTTAAAATTAAGGTACAAATCGTTTTAACGAATTTTTGAATAATTAATTTTCAGAATTGTATTATATTAAAGCAGACAGTTGAGAGTTGAGAGTCAAAAGTGAGAACAGAGAGTATTGCGAAAGAAATACAGAGACTTTATAATTATTGAAATATATCTACACGTTATTATTCCTTAAATCACTGAAAAGTTGAACTATGTATTACATTAATTACCACAAACAAACATACCGTAAAATTTGTCTATCTGCACACTCGTGGAATACTAATAAACTTCTCCTAATTGATATTTTTTAACTCGCTTAAATGCTCCACCCAACGAGTTCTTAATATCTCAGAAGACTCGATTATTAAACTTGGTTGACGTGTTTCTAGATTGTGTTATTAGCAGAGCCGTGGAATATTAATGACTTTCCGCGGTAATTTTCTTTTTGGCGAAGTTAAGAAGCTCTATTGGATTGCGCGAAATAGATTATGCGAGAAAGGCGGGAGGGGGAAAAATAGTTAGGGTAGTTAATTGCATTAATTACGAAGCGCAAGTTGGTGGTATTCATGAGAAATGTACGGTATCGATCATGAATTTGAGGCGGCCCCCTTTACTGTGCCAAGAAGGGGTTTCTTTAGGGTAGTTCGATAGTTCGATAGCTCTAATGCAAGGCTTCGCGCAAGATCGCCGAAAATTTCATTGCTTGCTTCATCGAAAATGCAACAATCTACCATATTGTTCGAAACTGAATTAACATCATCTTGTTCGATTGAGAATTATACAATTTTCAACGTTATGCTACCTTAAATCACGCTTCTTCAGTTTGTTCATCTTTAATCCCAATCGTTAACTGTGCTTAATTATACCAATTAAGTATATTAAATTATACAATTTAAAATTACATTTCAATTATACTAATTAAACTTAACTCCAAGAAGCGCGAATATACCGCTTCGAATATACCTTTAATTAAACTTTCCGATATCTAGTGTATTTCTTCAATTATGAAACAACTTCAATGTCAAATTTTTCTAATTTCTATTTTTACACTATACTGTATACTTCTCCACTAAAATTTTCTCAACCGAAAGATCTAGCCAACTATCATTCAACAACAGTTGAAATATCTTTCCAATAGTTAAAATAATCACAAAAAATTTTTATTTTTACATTATACTGTATACTTCTTCCCTAAAATTTTCTCAACCGAAAAATCTAGTCAATCATCATTCAACCTGTTGAGGGGTTATATTAAATAAATAACTCGTGTGGAGAAAGGTAAATAATTATATTTTAGAAGATGTTCAGACAGATGTAGACAAGACGAGCGCACAATTAGAACTGCCTACAAAACGTGACAGTGTGCACTTTTATACCTGGGGTGTTCGCAGGTATCCCCAAACCATATTTATCGGACGTGTCATGAACCTACCAATATTCTAGGATGTCGATTTTTCTATGCAGTACTCATGAACCATTTTGCTTCAACACAACCAATACTTGAAATAATCACAAAAAATTGTTATTTTTGCATTAAGTCTACTATATACTTCTCTAAAATTTTCACAACCGAAACAATTCCTAAGACATAATTTCTCACCTAGCCAGATCCTAAACAATCGCAAATATCGATACTACATTCCAGAGTCTCGAACCAAGAATGAAAAAGAAAATAGAAAAACGAAAACGTTATCAAACTCGTACTCCTATCTCCCGCGGTGTGTACTACACTTCGTAAAGGTCCCGTAAATACAGGCAAGTGCTGTAAAAGGTAGCGCAACCGTGGAGAATTTGTCCAGTTCGTGTATCGTATCACGTCGATATCATTTGAAAATTGACGTGTTTATATATTTACACGACTACCGGTAACGATAATCGATACGGCGGCGATAAACGAGAGAGAGAGAGAGAGAAACAGGGGTTGAAATGGAACGCGTCGCGCAATAAGATTCACTATCCTGGCCCGAGTGTACGAGTGCGCCTTGTCCTTATTTCAACAAGTCGTCTCTTCAACGTACCGACACGAATGCATATTTATCGGTCGACGTAAAACAAACATTCAAAGAGGATCCTCCTCTCTCTCTCTCGAGTTTTACCCGGTTCTCCTTTTTATCTTCCCAGATCGAATCACATCGCATTCCACTAGACGCATCCTCGATTTTTCCTTCGTCCTCTTCCATGACCTACTCTTAACTTTTATTCCGAAGTTTTCTTACCCTCGATACCGATTTCAATGTTTAAACACATAGAGTTAAATATTCTTCCTTGTTTTTTCGGGGGATTTTGGGAGCTATGATTAAGACACTTTGTTATGGAAGATGCAGACGAATGTAACTTGTTTTTTCCTTTTTTTGGAGGATTGTGTACACTCTGTCCAATTTAAGAGTAACCTCGCTCTCGGACCGATTTTCCTCCGTTCTGCGCATAGACAGAGAGCGTAGCAGAGGGTAAGACGGAGAAGAACGTAGGCGGTTAAGTGGGGGTTTGGACGTTCTAGCCCTGCTTTAGGCAAGTCCCATGCGCGAAGCGAGGTTATTCTTAAATTGGACAGAGTATAGTTTGTTTCTCGTGGAAGTGAATTTAACAGTTACGTTCGACTGCACGTTTGAATGTTGTACGGATGATCGATAGAGTTATTATTGATGTCTATTGTTCCTGCAAGTATCCCAGAAAGAACGCGAGGAAAACGCATGCCCACACGTATCAAACAGATCGGACAGCGGTGGAAGTACGATAATTAATTTTCTGTGAAATTTCCATTGGTGAAATGTTCGATAAACGATGATGCACCAAATTGAATTGATATTAATGTCTTGGGTAGACGTTAGTGGTGATTTTAAATGGTAACTGAGGGAAAAATTGAAAATTTATATCTGGAGGCAGTGTATTATTTATAAAATTTTTCGAAAATTCTGTTCTTCAAATTCTAATAAAAGAAATATTCATTTTATGTAGATCACAGGTTGCAACTGATTTTAATTAAAGATTTCAATTCTCTACGGTACATTAATTAGAAAGGTTTGTTAAATTTCTTGGTAAATAATTTTTGAAAAATTCTCTCTTTCAAATCTGAATAAAAGAAATATCCATGAATTTACGCAGACTCGTAGAAAAATATTGTCGAGTAAATTTACACTACAATGTGCAATTTATCTTTAACAAAAATGAAATAAATCTTCACAAACCACAAATCTACAATTTATCCAAATCTACGAACTCGAGAATTCCCAAATTAAACACCACGATGAATTGAAAATTTCCTTAAAGCACCTAAAAGGAAATCTCTCTAATCTTCGATATCGTCCATTCGCATTTATCAAAATCCCAACACTCGATAACCCACATTTCACTATCGCCCCTTTTTCATCGTACTTCGACGAGCCGTCCGATGCCTCCTCGGTGATCGAACTATGTCAGACGGGGTTTAAAGACTCGAGGACCGTGTGGGTGTGGTGGTCAAGGAACGCCAATGAAGAGAGAAAAAAAAAAAAGAAAAAACTTGGAACAAAAATACTCGAAGAGATAGAGTAAGATATAGGTAAGAGATAAGATAGACAGTAGATAGATAGATAGAGAGAGAGAGAGAGAGAAACAACAGGGAGGAAGATACGTTGTAGTTCGGTGCAGTGGGTGAGAATAGTTGTGAGACGTATCCAGCGAGTGAACGAGTGGCGGTGCATACTTACGTCCAGTTAGAGGGTGCATCAGAGCAGGGTGCGAGGTGGCTGCTGCAGCGGCTGGTTGCTTGGGTTTGCTAACCTTTGTGTTACTTTTTGCAAATTCCAAACGTATGGTTTGTGGCATATCAGGATCGAATCTAACCCCCTGCTGCAAATAGATTCCCTAAATTAGTAAACCGGGAGCACACGTGGATGCTTGGATTTGGTGAGAGGAGAACAGAGAGAGAGAGAGAGAAAGAGAGAGAGAAAGAGAGAGAGAGAGAGATAGTGTGTTTCAGGGGGAATCACGCTTGATGTTCTACACAAACGTATTACGATTTGAACGAATCTTTAGCCTTCGTTGCCAGTTTGGTCGAAAGAAATAATTATCTTCTCGTTTGTAGTTATCGTGAGATTGTATTGGAACTTTGGTGAGTCTTATGGTATTTTAGAGTTACCGTTTTAATTTTAGTTTAGATTTAAGAGTTTTTTTTAGATTAAGAGTTAGAATTTTTTTAGATAAGTTTTTTTTAGATAAGAATTAGAATAAGAGTTAAATTTAGTTAGATTACTGCTTTAATTTTGAGACTAAGCTTGTTTTCGCTGTATCTCTCGAGGAGAAGAATTTTCAGTCCTTAAAACGGAATTTTTCAAATGAACATTCTTATTTCCTATTTTTGCAATTGTAAAATTTAGCGATTACAGTTTTTGTTAAATTCTACATTCCGGGGAAAAGAACTTTGAATCCTTCGAATGGAATTTTAGAAATGACAATATTTGTCTAATTATAAAATTTAGAAATTACATTTTCATCAAATCCTACATTCCGAGAAGAAAACATTTCTATCGAATCGAACACTTTCCACGATTAACCCTTAAAACCAAATTCTTCCAAATTTCCTCCATTCCGTACTCGGAACGGATCCTTACTCACCCCGTTTACTCGGTAACGGCCACTTAGGTAGACTACCACCGACATCGGATCACCGACTGGCAACGAAACTTTCGTAAAAACGATCCGTAAGGTAAGAGTGGCAAATAGGGGGATGAAGGGGGCTACTGTTGGTGACTGCATTACAGGAAAATTAGCACAAGATCGTGTACAGGTGTGTGTATGTGTGTGTGTTCACGTGTAAGGGGTCTGTTATATCCGTGTCCCTGTTGCTACAGTGGCCATCGATAGAAGTGGGTTGTTCGTTAGTCTGTTCCAGGCTGTTCTCAGCGAACGTGTCCATCCGACAAGAGGATGTTTCGAGTCTCTCTCGTACGTAAACCGGTTACACAGGGTTATTATAAAAGACATTGCAAGTTGCGTGAGGTCAGTTGCGGAGGTGTGATAAGAAAAATTGAAAAAAAAAAAAGAAAGAAAGAAAGAAGAAGGATCTTAATACGTGTGTATATCTAATGTATATAAGTAACGTGGGCTAGGAGAAGTACGATTAAACAGACATACTTATATATATACACCGTATGTAGTATCATCTAATGTATATAAGTAACGTGGGCTAGGAGAAGTACGATTAAACAGACATACTTATATATATATACACCGTATGTAGTATCGTCTGCGATACAGTTACATCTATCAAACGTACTTGTACAAGATCCAAATCTGTGGATTAAACGGGCAAACTCTCATACAAATGCACATTACGGTCGTTGTAAGAAACTTCGAAACTCGACAGGGCTGAGAGAGAGAAAGAGAGAGAGAGAGAGAGAGAAGAGAAATTCATAGAAGATAGAGAGAAAGGGGTAATTCGAGGAGAAATGGAGGGAAGTGACACGCTTATTAGAAAGCAAGACAACACTATATATATACCTATATATGTAGATATAATAATGTCACACGGTGCAACCAGCGTTATCACGATACGTTCATGGTATACACGAGGTAATCCGTACTACGATTTATGGTCCCAGGATGAGAGAAAAAAAAACAAAAAATCAGTAAGAAATTTTATGTATATAAAGATACAACAGAGGAAGAGAGTATGTGTGTAAGTAAGTACGTGTACAGTAATTGATAGGTAAAATAGCTACGTAGCATTAACCCGTGCCAGCTGGAATCTAAGGCAGGGTGTGTGTATTTTCGTATGTATATAATATGTTGGGGTAAAAAAAATAAGGGGAAAAAATAGATATAGAGGGAGGGAAGAAAACTGCGGGTCGTTCTTTGTACCTATGTGTATGTATATATATATATATAAATAGAGAGAAAGATAGGTAGATATAGATAGAGAGAGAGAGAGACAGAAAATATGTCTATAATTCTGCGAGGGAGCCCGCGGGAGCTCTCCCGTTTTATCGAGCTCTCCTGCTCGGCTTTTTCTCTCTCGATACCTACGAGAAACGGGCTATTACCTGCAGGTCCTGTTTCGCCGCCTCGGCACCGGCCCTCGTGTGAAAAGTCACGAACCCCACCGGCTGAAATCAAACGAAACACGCACATAATTTCGTCTCCTTCGTTGTGTAGTGTATTTGCTTAAGTTTAGGAATAATAGAAACGTCGTGTCACGCTTTAACGCGGTGCGTGACCGAAGAAAGCGTGACCGTTTCGAGGAGACCTCGAATGCGAGGGGAAAATTGATTTGAATGTTTAATTACGGGAGTGATGTATTAGGTCATCCCGCGAGTTCGTGTCCAACGTGAGAAACGTTTGATCGAAAATCCAAGGTAATTCTGTGGCGACGGTGTAATGGTTTTATTAAAAAGAAAAACTAGAAGGCGCTTACGCTTTGTTCTTTTTTATCGAATTTAAAGGTTCGTTGGATATATCGATCTGAATTTGAAAATTCGACATGAACTTATGGAATGACCTATTTACGTTAAATTAGTGAAATTTTAATCTTAAGAATTTTCTCCTTTTTTTTTTGGTTTAATGGAAATTTTATTTTTACCACGCGGGACCTGGTAATTTTATGTATTATTTAGGACTTCGGACCGATTTTTTCCCGAGTTTTAATTCAGCTTTTCTCAGTAAGGAGAATATTTTTAAGAGGAAAGCTGAGGTTAGGTTTACGATACGCACGTGACATCCTCTAAGCAGAGACGTCGAGGTTAAGAGTTAAGAGTTCACCTTCCTCCTTCAATTTTTTAATTTATTTAATTATCTAACGCGAGGAAAGGAATTAAGATTTTAATTTGGATTCGGGACTTTATTCTCTGGTTCCCGAGAGTGACTGACGTATCGCAAACCTGAAAGAAGACCAGATTTTTGGATAGCAACCCCCTGGGACTGGGGGAACCGTGGTCCAATTTTCTCGAAGATTAAGAACACGTGATTTCCATATCGTGCATGTGTCTGTGGTATTTACCCTGTGCTTGGGAAATTCGTGAAAAATTACACTGGCCTTCTTTTATTATTTCTCCCCTTTGAAAATCCAAAAGGATGTATCTTACATATACTTCCTAAACGAAATACCCAACATTTCTGAATCTTTGTGCTTCAATTTTAAATTGTATCTTCATATTCAAATCATACACATATATCACTGTTTTATTAAAAATTTAAGGAAGTAGAATATTGAAATTTTTATTATAATGTCAACACTTGAAAGACCGCTCACGATATTTCTTTTTTATTTACAAGGAAACCTTTCGCACTGAAAGGATTTCAAAAATTTTTTCAAAAATATTAAAAAAATAATATTCTTGAAAATATTGAAAATATCATACTCTGCGAAAGAAAAACACCACCTTTATGTAATTAGTTACAAGTTCTAAAAGGACGTGGATTTTTAATTTATTTTTCATTTTCAAAAGAGAACATCATCGGTCTTCGAGTAAAACTACAGGAAAATAGTGCGCGATCGTTCAAGCGTCAAGATAACAGTCGGTTTTATCCGAGCGAACCGAAAAAAATCGCACAAACGTTTAACTTTGTCGATGCTAACGAGAGTGGTCTCTCTGTCGTTCGATTTCTTTGACAAATAACAAAAAAAAAAATATACGTATATATTTGAAATGTTAGGATAGAAAAGGTCAGTGGAGTATTGCGGGCGACGAATCAGCTTGCGAGGCTTTAAATAGATCGAATAGGCTTTCTGGCTTGTCGATGCTCGCAAGTTCACCCCCGCTTTCCTAAGAGGGGATTCGAGAAGCCTGTAATTCACCGAGGAAACGAATTCACCGGGAAACGTATTGTCCGTTCAACGGACTTTCCACGGTGTAATTTTCCGAAGGAACTCGATAGAATTTCCACGCGTTCACCCTGTGAAAACCGATACCGGGTTTCGTTTAGATAAACATTTGTGGAAAACCGTGAAGTGATTTTATTCATTAAGAAAAGAGGCACGGGCAAACCGCGCACGGAAGTTTCGATCGAAATACACACAGTGAATTTTTTTTCCTGCTTTTTTTATTTCCATTATATTGTACAAATTGAAATCAATTTTCGAAACTTAACTCTATCTCGTCGCGCACCGTAACTTTACTTCTTACCATGTTTTATCTTTCGTAATCTTTTGTACCATTTATGACTGTTACTTTAGCGAGTGTAATTCATTCTGAATTGAATTATTAATTCTGTGAATTTTTATACAATTGTTATGTTCCGATAAAATTTCACAGACCAAGGGAGAGATATGAAAAATATTTCCAAAGCAAAATTTCCACTAAAATAATTTCAATTTTTTTTTTTTTGTTCGATAATGTCGAAAGGAAAAGAACGAAATAATCTTTTATACCATTTATGACTGTCACTGTAGCGAGTCTAATTAATTAGAACGCGATGAGAGAGAGAGAGGCCTAAAAAATCTCTCCAAAGTAAAATTTCCACTAAAATAATTCTAATTTTTTTTTTCACTTCGATATTTTGTGTTGCATATGTCGAAAGGAAAATAACAAAATAAAAATATATTCCATCTTTCCTTTCTACAATCATAATATTTTACACCATCCATGACTCACTTTAGGGTGTCTAATTAATTCCGCGATAATTCATTAAAACCTAAATTGTTATACCAAATTTCACAGACGAAGAGAGAGAGAGAGACTTAAAAAAACTTCTCCTAAGCAAAATTTCCGCTAAAACAATTACAATTTTGTTTACTTTTCACTTCGATATTTTGCGTCATATCGAAAGAAACCGAACGAAATAAAAATGTATTCGATCGAAAGCGAACAATTCGTTTAACAGCGTGTTGGACGAATATTTTTCCCCGGCCATGCGCTGTGTTCGGTTTATTTCTATGATAATATTGGCCTCTGTAACGATCCCCGGCACGAGATACACGTACCCCCGCGGTGGTGTTTTCTACAAATTCTTATCGCCGTTGCAGAATCAAAATCTGATAAGGTAGAATTCGCGGCGGCGCGGGCACACGCGACAAAGTGATATTCGTAAACGCGCTGTAAAATTACATCGGATGGATCAGATAGGGCTTGGGCAGGTTGCAAATAAATTTTATCACGCTCAAAAGGGATTATATAAGTATATGTAATGGAACGACAAAGGAATGTTCATCGACGCGTTTATTAATACGTGCCCGGGTTGCCTTTAAAGCACACCGCATCGTTCACGCGACGTTCGGTAAATCGAGGTAATAACTATCGCGGATGACAATGTAAAGCGTTTCGTTCTGTTACACCCTCAATTATTTTCCTTCGTAGTCCTTAGTTTTATCTGTATTTGCGAGTCACCCACTTTCACCATTACTCATACTGGACTCTTCACCTTTCAACTCTCCTGCATAGTCGCAACCCAAAGTCCATCTTCCCAGAACCCTTAAACAGCCCTATTTTCTCCATTTCCGCGTTCATTCTCTGTTTTACCATGCGCACGTCACGTAACGTCCAAATCTCTGTGAAATAAAGTTCTGTTCCTACGCAACGACGATCCTTAAGTGTTTTAATTCAGCGATACCCCAATATCTGCTTCTAGTTTCGAGGAATTGGAGCAAACCGGGCATCGCAGTTCGCATAGAAATTTTGAATTCAGAGTGGAAATCTTAGACCTTGCGATATGGTTATGAAATTTGCACGATATTTTTATATTAGTGTGAACAGAAATTGAAATTAAGATAAATAAAAATATCACAGATAATTCTCCGATAAGTGCAATTTTGTTTATATTCTATCGCTTTCCAAATTGCGTTATTATTTTTATTATGACAAAAACTTACTTCTATGCATCCAGGAAATAATTTAGAAAGAAATGAAGGCAAATTTTTTTACACCTCGAGTTGCGAAAAATATGAACGTTAAAGGGTTAAATGTTGAAGAAATAGTTTAAAAACACAGGTGATCAAGATAATCGAGGATATTTCACGAAGTGTGTATTTTTTTCTATTTCAATTATCAGAGAGTACAAACTTAGAACCGTCTTGTACACACACTTCATTCTAACAATAACCATTCATTTCTCGAATGGTCGCTCGAGTGTGATAAAAGGTCGGCGATATTTTTCGAACCTCCTTCACACGAGACACGCGCGAGATAAATTGCTCTGCAATTCGACGTTCTGTCGTAAAAAGAAAATTAGTTAAGACTGAGAAACGGTTCATTACGAGAACAATGAAATCGCTAAATTAGTTCGATTAGAAAAAAAATAATTTAATCAGTACTGTGAGAAAATCCGCCCCGATGACGGTGAAGCGAGCACCTTGAAGCCACGCCCAGCGCGCTCGGTGGGGGGTGACTCCGCCCCTTTGGGTCTTTCCCTGGGCCTGTTCGCGTAGGGGTGGACAGGGATCGGCAGGGCGACGCGTCCACACTCTTCACGAGACCCTCGAAGCATACTTTTGCGAACGACGCTCAGATAACGCGGATACAGACTTTTAATAACATATACTGTTGTAAAAACGTAGACACGTTTAATTAATTTTACGCCCACCCTACTCCGAGTTAGAGTACTTACTGACAGTACTGTCACATTTGTGATGTAAATTAAATTAATATAAATTTTCATATATTTGTACAAGTATTTTTCATTCAGGAAAAAAATGTTCTTCGTTCTTCGTCGACGTGAATATCGATTCCTTGCATTAACTCAAGCGAGATATATGTATATGTAGAGTGAATCGTGTGTCTGATTTTCGTTTCGTGACACTCGTAACATTCCCGGAACCCTTATCGAGACACGGAATTTCCGAACGTAATGTAGTGTTTCGTCGAGCCCATTTTTATCAATACGTCCATCGTGGTGGTCGCATGTAGGTTAATAGTTAATAGTTGCGTGCTGGTCGAAGGAGAACAATCAATTTTTACGTTTGCCTTTTCAACTTTTCCATGTGCATCCCAATGAACCACACGGAGTATTATTTTTATAGATGTCTCTTTGTTTTTTAATAGTAAACCGGTGTATATACGGTAAAAGAAATTGGAGTTATTATGAGAATAATAATATTTCAATATTTTTCTAAATATTTTATTTAACTGAAATTACTTACTTACGTGAATATTAAATAAGTAATGAAATAAAATAT